CGGAGAGGACACCCTGAGCGACTCAGGTAAAGACCGAGCCAGGGTCCGACTGCCTCCCTGAGGTCCTGGGGCTGGGGATGGCGCTTCGTTTGTTGCTGTTCATGGGTTTCGGCTCTTGGGGGAGAGTATTTTGGAAGTAGTCCTGGTGGCTGAGAGGTGGGTTTTTTCAAGCTTGATCCCCAGGTTAAGGAGGACCTGGTGAAAGGTGTAAGGGGGTGTTCTCCAGAGCCTCACTTTCGTTGAAGTTCCTTCAGCCCCTGCCCGGAGTCTGACTCCATCACTGGATGCCCCTACCCACCATGTCTCTCTGCAGCGTGGTCTGAGCAGTAAAATTAGGAAAAGTTGAATGGCTAAAGCCGGATTGGGATTCAGGGATGGCTAGCTGCATTACTTGAGCAGAAACCTGTTAACCCAGGGGTGGAAAAGGACTGTGGCTCAGATCAGGGATGGAGAGATCCCCAAAAAGGAAAAGCCTGTGCAAAATCCTATTCAGGGCGCAGAAAGTTAAAGGAGGGATTGCACAGATGGCGAGTATCCATGTGATTTTTTTTCAAACCTGGATACTCTTCTCCCCCTCCTTAAGTGGGTGGTGGGCTATTTGCTCCTGGTCCATGGCCAGCAGGCGGCGATATGCTGGCCAGCTGGAGGCCCAAGGATCTGAAAGGCTGGGAGTGGTGGGGCCACCCCTCCCTCCCTCCCTTAAGCAGCTGGCGGCCAGTACAACAGCGGTTGGTTGTGTACATTCTCAAGGGGCCAGCTCTTTACAGTGTGCAGTGAGAAGCTGGCTGGTTTGGTCTTCTAGCCTGAATTCCAGGACTAATTTCAGATCCGCGTTGTGTTTTGTAACCCGGTGCCCTTCAAGGTGAGGGCGGGCACTTCCTCAGCAGACCCTCCAGGAATGCACACACCCTGATTAGTCCTATTGTGTGGCTCCTACTTAAACTGAAGGGTAGAGTTAAAATCGAGACTTTGCCTGGAGGTGGAGAACTCTCCCCAAGTACTGGAATGGCCTTGTCCTTGGAGCTGGGAGCCTGGGACCTTGAAAACCAGTGTGGCCAGAATGCAGGTGGATAAAAAGCCTCAATTTCCTCCAAGACTGAGGACGGATTCATCTGAGGCTCCTGGAAGGAAACTTGGTGATAAGCCTCCAGTTTGAACGGGTCTGTCCCTTTAATGTCTGTGCCTTGACAGCTTTCGGTGAGGAAGCACTTCCTTCCAACAGCTGTCTTCTTGGCAGAAAACCAAAACATTGGCTTAAAGGGACCCACAGACTGGAACAGCCTCACATTTCGGCTTTAGAACAAATCCCACAATTGTTCAGCTTTCCGGTCCCCTTCAGATCAAGCAGAAGTTGTGTTTTGATTTTCATGCTTGCATTTTAAACAATAATTTTCTATCCGAGCATGGCAGTAGATGAGGAGAGAGGGGAAACGCACACGGGATGCTACACGTTTTTGTTGCTGTTGGTGGGGACTTTGAGAAGAGGTGCCACCGAATTGGGGTTTAGAGCTCCAGTGGATGATGACTTTGTAGCTAAGGTTTAATCTTTGTTAGGTGAAAAACGGCTTATGGTGTAAACATCATCATGTTCATGGAAGACAGAGTATTTAATTACATTGTTTAGGTTTGTTTGACTTAAAATGAGACTCGACCATGTGTAGATGGCTAAAAGAGGCCCCTAAAATGAGGAGCCTCAGTTCTTAAGGATGGAAATACAAATAAGTCTATGGGGCAGACCTGTGAGGATGATAAAAGCTTACCGTTAACTGAGCCTCTGTGTGTGTTTATCTGTCCAGCTCAACCTATGGTGTTATCCCCATTTCACAGCTGGGGAAACTGAGGCTTAGATTAAGGAACTTGCCCAGGGTCATGCAAGTAGTATGTGACGGAGCCGGGATTCTGTCTGACTCCAAAGCCAAGGTTCTGTTTCTGCCACCTGCTTAAGCCTGAATGGAGGATGAAATGCTAGGAGTATGAGGAGTAACGCCAGCCACAGGCCAGGGCCTGCTGTGAGAGACGATTTAATTCATATGTGCCTCACCGTGAGACTAACTCTCCTCTTGTTCTCAAAGATGATGAAGATGACGAGGAGGAAGACGAAGAAGAGGAAATTGACGTGGTGACGGTGGAGAAGCGACGGTCCTCCAACAGCAAGGCCGTCACCACCTTCACCATCACTGTGCGTCCCAAGAGCGCGGCCCTGGGCCCGGGGAGGGCCCCGTCGGGGGAGCTGATCCTTAAACGCTGTGTCCCCATCCACCAGCAGCACAACTACGCCGCCCCGTCGCCCTATGTGGAGAGCGAGGACGCGCCGCCCCAGAAGAAGATAAAGAGCGAAGCATCCCCACGTCCCCTCAAGAGCGTCGTTCCCCCGAAGGCCAAGAGCTTGAGCCCCCGCAACTCTGACTCCGAGGACAGCGAGCGCCGCCGCAACCACAACATCCTGGAGCGCCAGCGCCGCAACGACCTGCGGTCCAGCTTCCTCACGCTCAGGGACCACGTGCCAGAGCTGGTGAAGAACGAGAAGGCCGCCAAGGTGGTCATTTTGAAAAAGGCCACCGAGTACGTCCACGCCCTCCAGGCCGAGGAGCACCAGCTCTTGCTGGAGAAGGAGAAGCTGCAGGCAAGACAGCAGCAGTTGCTAAAGAAAATTGAACACGCTCGGACTTGCTAAACATTTCTCAGAACTGGACAGTCACTGCCACTTTGCACATTTTGAGTTTTTGTTTTTGTTTTTGTTTTTTTTTTAAACAAACCTTGTGTTGACATTAAGAATGTTGGTTTACTTTCACATCGGTCCCCCGTTGAGTTTGGATCTGGGTGGGGAGCAGGACATGTGGGGTTCTCCCAGGACCTCGGGAGAGGGCCTGTGTGATGGGATGCTGGGTGGCCCTGGTGGTTGTCCTCTGCGTCACCTCCGAGACGGCGGTCAGAGTCCGTGACAGTTGGAGAGCCTTCTGGGGCTGTCGAAGTCACCTTGTTTGTTCCAAGTTTCCAGACGACAGAAAGTCATTCCTTCTTTTTAAAATGGTGCTTAAGTTCCAGCAGATGCCACGTTGGGGTTTGCCATTTGAGACCCCTGGGGAACATTTCTGTAAATACCATTGACACACCTGCCTTTTGTATACGTCCTGGGTAATGAGAGGTGGCTTTTGCGGCCAGTATTAGACTGGAAGTTCATACCTAAGTACTGTAATACCTCAATGTTTGAGGAGCATGTTTTGTATACAAATCTATTGTTAATCCTTGTTATGTACTGTACTAATTCTTACACTGCCTGTATACTTTAGTATAATGCTGATACATAACTAAATTTGATACTTATATTTTCGTATGAAAATGAGTTGTGAAAGTTTTGAGTAGATATTACTTTATCACTTTTTGAACTAAGAAACTTTTGTAAAGAAATTTACTATATATATATGCCTTTTTCCTAGCCTGTTTCTTCCTGTTAATGTATTTGTTCATGTTTGGTGCATAGAACTGGGTAAATGCAAAGTTCTGTGTTTAATTTCTTCAAAATGTATATATTTAGTGCTGCATCTTATAGCACTTTGAAATACCTCATGTTTATGAAAATAAATAGCAATTAAATGATGCAACTTTTCTTTTCCTTAATAGCAACGGTTAAACTCTTAAGATGCAGCCATGAGTAGTGCATACCCTAGGGAGAGAACTTGGTTTCCACAGTCATCATATATTTATACAGTCCTGGTTGGGGAGGGACTGTTACCCCCTTGAGGTGGAGGGAACTGAGCTTAGGAAGGTTAAGATACTACTTCAGGATTACGCAGAATAGGTATGTTATTACTGTGTATTGCAGCAAAAGCACCAGATAGTTTAGAAAACACTTTCCTATAGGTTGGCCATCGAACCAAAGTAAGCTAGGACATCAGACCCTTTAGAATGAGGATTAAAATTAAGACATGGAGTTGTGCACCTTGGCCGTACTTGGTGTCAGTAACCTTTGACCCATTAGCGGTTGGCTTTACATTTTGACATAGGGTGAAGTTTGTCCCCCAGAAGAACACGCTCATCAGAATTTACTAGGCCCTGTGCAAGTTTCTATGCTAAGCATTATAGAAGAATAAAGATGAAGATGAAGTTGGTCCCTTCCCTCAAGAACTCACCATCTGATTCACCAAGGTAACTCAGGGAGTGACAGCTGTGTGGCCCAGATCAAAGTGCCTTGTCCCTTGAGGAGAGGCACTGCCCCGTGTTAGCGTAGCTCTGCCCATTTGGCGCTCCTGCCACTCGAACTGGTGTTTTGGTTGTCTGGACTGCCCTGTGGCATCAGGATTATTGGCAGGTTCTGGAGGACAGCCAGGGCTGGTGGGTTGGGGGAAAGGGGTGCACAGCGGAGCTGGGAGGAAATTTCAGAGTCCCTGATGGGAGGTGGTATCCTTCCTTGGGAGGCGTTCATCTTTAGGTGAAAGGTGGTACTCAAGGCTATGTCTCTAAGGTTTCATTCATCTCAGATTTTAGCTTTGGACTGAGAAGTTGGCTTTCCTCAGAAGAACACAGGTCCTGGGACGAGAAAGGGCTTTGCTGGCTTGCCCAGGTCATGTGGGTCCCTGTCTGCTTTGGCTATTTTACAAAGGCCAGTGGAGTTTAGAATTTGAGGTATTCATGGCTTACAGCCACGTTTCCTAAGCTATGAGGTTGATATTGCCATGGACCTTTACAGGTGATAAGACTATGTCAAAAATTCAGGCAACATTCTCTCTACTTAAATCTCCCTACTTGCCACCATCCCTAAATAGAAAATAACCCTCTCTGAAAGTCCTTTTTGAATTGTCATTCAAAAAGACTTCCTGTCCCTTTGCATTTTACAGGCCCCAGATCGCCAAGCTGCATGGAGTCATGAGCTAAAAGAAAGTTAAGAAATCTCAAAGTAATTGAGATTCTTGAAACCCAGCTCAATCACCCCAATTTCTTTTTTTGTGGTCTCCATCAGGGCCTCCCTAGACTTTTTAGATGAGATAGAACTCTATCTGTGGAGGAGGTATACCGTTGAGATGAATGAGGCCCTAAACTAATTCCTACCAGGCTCCATTTTTGCTCTGGCTGCTGGGAAGCTCAGAGCCAAATTCAATGCTCTCATTCTACATCCTTGAAGCCCAGTCTCTCCAGTGTATTTGTGATCTTTTGTTTTTCATTGTAATTTAATGACCTTTTTTGTTGTTGTTCTTGATTTTATGTTACATTAAAGAGAACTTTCTGATTTGGGTGAATCACAAATACATTAAAATATTAAAACTAAAGTAAAACACCTCTTATTTGCCTTTTCCTGGCCCAGCTGAGGGAAAGTGTCACTCAGTTTAGCTCTGCAATTACCTATAAAGCAATTGCTGTTGTCACAGAAGAATTGAACCACTCCTTTCAACAACATGAGAAACCT